TTGGTGAGTTTGAGTGATTTGTAATCTCAGTTTGTACTCTTCTTCTCTATTAGTGAAAATCTCATCCCCTTCTTGCCCCGTGGACGTAGACAACTTGCCGAACCATGTAAAATTGGTTGTTTGTATTTGTGTCGTTATTTTGCATTGTTTAGCTTTCTCTCTCGACGTTTGTGTTTGGTTTCTCGAAGCACAACGATTGGTGGCTTCCGTACACAACAATTAACCCTCATAACTTTCTAAATATAAGAAAACCCCCCCTTAATTAGTGATTACTGAAAAACCCCCCCTTAATTAGTGATTACTGAAAAACCCCCTTTAACTTTAAGATTTTATCAGAAGACCTCCCTAGCAGCATTAACCACACTTTTACCGGCAAAAATATCGCATTGCATAATTTTCACTAGAATATTTTCAATAGTTCATAGGCTTTAACATAATTTTAAAAGTTCAAGAACCAATCAAAGCCAAAAAAACGTAAGGGCAGTTCTTAACCCTTAAACACATTCGTTTTTGTGCTTTTTCTATATATGAGTTGTTATTCAATCTTCATCTTCTATATCTTTTTATTCCATTTTATTACCATATATAACAATCCTTCAACGTTTCTTCCATTACATGCACTTCCAAACATTTTACACATTAATACCCAAATACACATGCATATTAGAAAATTCCAAAACAAAGTAGCTATACTAAGTACACTCATCAAATTTATAGCAAAAACTAGTACAAAGTACTCAACACCTCAGTAATGTGATCTCCACCACAAAGGGCGAAACCACTTGGAATGAAAAGAAGACTGATACGAAACAAGCACCAACAACAACACAACCAAAGCCACAACCCCCCACGGCGAGCTCCCGGCCGCTATGAATCGGCCTCCTGCTAGCCGGCCGTCCGCAGCCGAACCAACAACCCTCGCGCATTACAAACATGTTGCGCACAACAAAATGAGCACGACAGGAAAGCAAAGAGGAAGAGAAAGCGGTGGAGCTGAACTGCGTCTCCTCAATCTTGGCTTGTAGTCCGGTGTAGCCATGAGAGGGAGAGGAAGAGCATGACGATGGCGAAGACGGCTATCAATGGGGAGGAGGGCAGGGAGAGGGAGGAGGTTGTTGTTTCCCTCGCACCCTTGGTGGCCTCATCCTACTATCACCAAGGAAGCCATGACATTTTGTTTTTTTGTTTGGTTTGATGCACAAATTAAAGGGAGTTTTTGGATGCTTGCTTTATAAGAATGGTGGGGGGGGGGGGGGGGGGGGGGGGGGGGGGGTGGGGGGGGGGGGGGGGGGGGGGGGGGGGGGGGGGGGGGGGGGCGGGGAGGGGGGGGGGGGGGGGGGGGGGGGGGGGGGGGGGGGAGGGGGGGGGGGGGGGGGGTGAGATTCTTGGGATATTATTATTATTGTATTTTGTTGGATGGTTGAGTGGGAATTGATGCTAAGCTTTGATTATTGTATTTGTTGTGGCCTGTGGGTTGGTTTATATTCGAAGTTGTTTGTGAGGTCCTCCAGGTGCAACTTTTTGCATATGTACTCCAGATATAAATTTTGCATATGCATATCATAAAGAATAGGATTTTTTCCCCCTCATTTGAAATTCATCTGTGATCCACAGATTTTGAGCTAAAAGTGTGAATTGCCTTCTCTTAATCCGAATCGAAATGCTTCTTTCAAACTGACAAAGTCTACTTTTCTATGCTTGTAGGAGGATCAAAGATTTACTAGTCATGCTACAACAATGCTACAGTGTATTAATGTAGCATTATTACTGTAGATGTATCAATGTAGCAAAAAAACAGAATACTGTAGCATTTACAGTAAATACTACAGTGAATTACTACAGTATTATCACTGTACCGCAGACGAGATACTGTAACATTTAAAAATAATACTGTCATTTACAAAAAAACATTGTTACATTTAAAAGCAGAATTACTGTAGCAGAAATAAAAAAAAAGCGGGCGTGCGTTGCACGGGGTGCACACTAGTTTCTTTGAATACTAAAACATATTTGCATGATTGTGTTTGGTATATGATCTTTTTTTGTCAAAGTTTTTTTTATTTGAATAATTTGTGAATAATTAATTTGTTAAAAAATTATTTTCGTTTGATGAAAAAGTTTAATCGCCTTAACTAGTTAAATTCAGGTCGAATTTACATACGGCAAAATTATTTTACGTACAAATGTGAAATAAATTATATATACACAAGCTAAACAAATATTTAAGTGATTATCAATGTACAAAACTATTGATTAGTATTGGTTCAAATTTCCATTTAATAACATGAGAAATAAATACCCAAAACAAAATCAAGCACGGTACTCTGGGTGTGTTGGTGGATGATTTTGAAACTAACAAATTTTCCTAATCCTGCATCTAACATCAGGAAAGGTTTGAAAAAACAGGATCAAATTGCAAAATATGAAAACAACAATATGAGAAAGATGATTATAAAGGGGGGGCAAACTGCAAGCGTGCAATCTAGAGAACTTTCTCGAGCGTACATCTGCAAAAAGCGAACTCCAAAAGATCAATAAGCTCGGGGCTAAGAAAAGAATCTGAATCTGATTCAAAATTTAATGTGGTGACATAGTAAAGTTTTGGCATACGCGTATTTCCGCGGGGGACACGGGCCGTGACGTCGGCAAAGACGGCCGCGGTCCTCCGCGGTCGGGTCCAAATTGCGTCGGTAAGCATGAGAAATCTCAGGGATGGGGGGTGTAAATAAAATTTGAGGTGTGGCTTCAGCTGTGTGCGCCAAGAAAGCAGAAGTAACGTCATCAATTAGACTGTCTACAAACTACGATGTTTATCTATAAGAGTTCATGAGAGCATAGAGATTGATTCGGTTTGCTCCCAGTGAGGACAATATTGGCAATTGTGTGCCCGTACATTACAAAGTTGAGTTTGAGAAGAGGTGTCATCCTTTAGCTCTATCCATCCAACCTCGTGGATTATCACTTTTTCAGATCCTCCCCAGTTAGTTATAAGGTAACTAGATAGGAATACATTTTCTCAATCCTCGCTGTTTATTCTAATTTTAAATGCTAAGGTTATTTCATGTAGGATTTTTCAATATTGTAATAGTGATTTTCAAGACAAACGGTGGTTTTGAAGACAACCGTAAAAATCCTACGAAGCATAATCTCATCCCATAAAATTAAAATAGACGTTTAGAATTGTGGTAATTGGACCTTCTCCAATTATCATCTAATTTGAGCGATCTAGTTCCCCATTGAATATATAGATATATGACTTGATTATACACACTACAACAAAAGTTGTATGTGTCCGCACTTGTTTATGACACATATAAAAGTGTCAATTTATTTATAAAAGATTAAACAATAGTGACATAAATAAAAAAATATAGCAAATCACGACACATATTTGTGTCATTAAATATACAAATAAATATAATTGAAAAAAAAACTAACAATCCAACATGGATTGTGAGAGAATCTAGGCATAACTGTGCTTTGATGAGAGTAATTATAGAATGAGTGATCTTTTGGGAAGTAATAGTGTTAAATGATGATATTCTTTATATCTTTATGGTCTAGGCATAACTGTATGTTGTCATTCTTGATACATAAATGTATCATGAGTTTAATTTTATGACATATGTAAGTGTCACCACTATCGACATATATATGTGTCATGAATTTTGTGACGCATTCTCACATGTGTAGCAAAACGCTCTCCACACATCCTCTAACCCACTTTTGCTATATGTCGTGCTCTATTTGTGCGACACAAAACTATGTCGCGTAGAGATAAAAAAAATGTATCATAATTTACGACTTTTGTTATAGTGACGGTTTAAAGTGGGTGCTTGCCTTAATATAATATTTCGTTTTACTAATATAATATTTTTAATTGGATTGATATTTGAACCGTTCAAAATGATAATTGCTAATTACAATATGTTATATTTTGATTACACTGATAACTGATTTAAATTGACAGTGAAACGGTTGTCATCGTTTATTCTGTAGGATATTTTCGGGGGTAACGAGCCAGATCTTTTTGGGGCCGTATTAAGGGGTCTTGGGTCAGTTTTGGTCCATTAACCTTTTCTCTCTAAGAAATCCATTTTTGGGGCTGCAAACATACAATAACCCTAATAAACGATTTATTAATGAAGATTAAAGCATGACCCGGCTGTTAGATCTTTAGGCCCAAAGAAGTCTCAGTGAGCTAGCAACGTGTACGGGGAGAGAAATAATTGAAATAACTTTTTTCATTAACCATTCATGATGAATTTTATTTTTAAGGAAAAACTAAAAACTTTACATTTTTAGACTGTTAATTACTATCTCAGATACAACATACGGGTACTCAAAATAGGTATAATAAAAAGAAGTTGGGATAATTATTATGGAACCCTCTTTAAGTTTGACAACTTATTATGAAACCCTTTAACGCTATTTTTTTTATTACAACACTTTTGCTATTAGAAATATTGTTAAAACCTATTAAAATTTTACCTTTTCCTCTAAAACACCCCCTCAATAGTGCTTCTCTTCTTCCTCAAAATATTGCAAAAACCATCTTCCCTTACTTCACACCAAAACAAGTAAAATGACCCATTGATGATGAGAAAATTAGAAGAAGATCAATGTAATCTTCAAACCCTTTGATTTTAGCCTCCATTAACTTTGTATAACTTAATAGTTTTTTAGTTTGTGTTTTGTCTGGAAGAGAAAGGGAAAATATGTTAAAGGGAAGAAGAAGAGAGTAGTTTTGAAATATTGATGGATTTTAACAGTTTTTTTAGAACATGATGTTTTATAATAATAATAAAATGTTAAGAGGTTTCATATTAAGTAAATAAATCTTTAGGTTTCATAATAATTATCCAAAAAGTTACTAATGCTCCACCCACTTCCCTCATTGAATTCTCATTTTAATTGGGCCTGGTCTCAACTCGCTCTAACCTACAAGGGCCCTTTTCCCTAATCAACCGCTGGATCCAAATCCAACGGTCATCACATCATCAACACTTTGCTGCCTTCTCCTTTCCCAAAATTTTGAACTCCCGTTGCTCTCTTCCCCGACCCTCAAAACCCTCTCCTTCCTCTCCGCAGCAACAAACAAAATGCCGGAAAAAAACGAGAACCCAGTTAAAAAAGAGGAAGAGAAGCTCAACGACGACGATCTAAAATCCACCGTAGCCGCCTCAAAATCAAAGCTTGTAAAGAAAGAAGAAGAAGAATACAATGACGACGACGACGACGTCCCGCTCGCTGTCTCCAGGGCCAAGAAGAAGAAGGCCATCACCACCAGCGCTTCGAAGGTCAAGAAAGAAGAGCTCGAGCCCGAAGAGGATTCGAAACCCAAGAAGACTACTCCGAAGGTACATTGCCCGTGATTTATTTTCTTGATTTTTTGGATTGATGGGCATTGATTGTTTCTGGGTATTGCAGCCCAAAGCAAATGTGAAGCCTTTTAAGGCGAAGAAAGAAGAGCGGGAGGATTCGGATTATTCAGAAGAGGAAGAGAGGGTACATTGCTCGTAATTTATTTTCTTGATTTTTTGGATTGATGGGCATTGATTGTTTCTGGGGATCGCAGCCCAAATCAAATGTGAAGCCTTTGAAGGCGAAGAAAGAAGAGCGGGAGGATTCGGACTATTCAGAAGAGGAAGAGAGGGTATGTGTTCTGGGTTAGTAAGTAAATGAATTTCCCCATTTTAGAGTAATGGGATGGTTTTCATTTTATTTTTTTTAAAGGATAAGAAGAAGAAAAGGACCCCAAAGAAGAAGGAAGAGGCGAATAAATTAGTTAAGAAGATGAAGAAGCAGTTGAATCCCAAAGGGAAGGAGAAGAGGGAGAGGAAAGTTTATGACTTGCCGGGGCAGAAGCATGACCCCCCAGAGGAAGTATGCATTGCAACTTTTTCTTTATATGATTTTTCTTTTTTGCATTGGGGGTTTAGGGTTTTGATTAAGATGATGACTGACTTTGGATTGTTTATTGTTTCGAGTTGCAGAGAGATCCCTTGAGGATTTTCTATGAATCACTGCACCAGCAGGTGCCTACAAGTGACATGGCAGCATTTTGGTAAGAGATATTCAGATCGTTATATGCTTGCTAATCTTATGAAAGTGTATCAACCTCCAATATGTCATTGGTGGAAATAGTTCATCTCTGTTTTGTTATACATATCATATATCTTTAATTGTTGCTTTCCTATCCTTTTTTTATAATTTATTTGTTGTTGATTCTTCAGTACTGTAATTCACTATTATTAAGCTTCATTTCTGTAATGTGGTCAGCCAAAATGATTTAGATTATTTCACAGTAAGCATGACATTCCAACATTAAGCAAGCTTTTTTAGTTAAAATTACTTGAACTATATGCTAATGCAAAGCTTTTGCTGCAATCTCATGCTCTAAAGACTAAAGGTCATATACAAAATCGTATATCCTATGTGGACTGATCTCTCTGACGAAGCTTCTGAAGCATGTCCATGATTGCTAGATAATTTCTTTCATCATCTTATCATGGATTAGTGAACCTGTCCCCTAATTATATACCGATTTGACTGTAGAAATGCATAAGACAATTATGGTTGAGAAGTATGTTTTTCCCATTATCTGTTGGGCGTGGAGGGCAAGGGAATGGTGATGGTGTTAATGCCTTGGTTATGTTGACTTAGTATGGTATTATACTAGCCTACAACTTAAGCTTAATTTGTCAAAGTGGTTTTCTAGTAAATCCTTAATTTTGGTTCTAATGGGACTCTTGATGCATGTGTTTGTGCTAAGATATTCTTTTTTTGCAAAACACAGTAACAGAGTATATTTTTGTTCATAAAATATATGAGAATTACGCATGTTTAACTTTAAGAAAATCCAGCGCCCATTTGCCTTCATGAAGACATTCTTTATTTTTCTTCTTTTGGAATGAAAGACACTTATTATGCCTCAGCTGCTCGTGTTTTCATAATCTACAAGCATATGAGTCTTATGGAAAAAAGCGCTCCTATATGCAATTTTGCTTCATAGTGAAACTGAATTAGTATCAGCACAAAGACGCTGGGTGTATTTAGGATTGTAGTGTGCCTGACATGATGTGATTGATTTTATTCCTTAGATTCTTTCCATGTGTTTGTGAATTTGGAGATTACTTCTCTATGTATTCAGGTAAACTTCATGGTATAGTTGTAGATATATCTGAGCCTTACCTAACTACTAACATAGCTCTTGCTCATAGCCTCATACTTGCTTTGGGAATATGACATTAAATTTACATCAAATATTTAAACATACATTTTTTTTTTT